TAACCCCTAACCTATGATGACTAGGCTTTGGCTATACATTGTGGAAGTTTGTCTGTAGTGCAATTGGTAAATGAAAAATGGTGTGATGCCTTAAGCTTTTCTGCCATTTCACCATAGTGTTGGAATTATTACATAAAAATGTAAACAAAAAAAACATTTCAGCAGTAATGGACACATGTTGAGAGTAAGCTAAATCTAGAAATGTTATTTGCAAAAGTGAAGAAACCAAAATACACACACACACACACATCTCTGCATGTCACCCTTCCTATACCCATTCAAAAGCCACTTACACAACAGCAAAAAAAAAAAAAAAGAACCAGTCCCGCTTATCATGAATTATTGGTATAGATTGTAACTCCTGTAATTAGTGAATACATTTCTGAAATTATAATTCAGTTAGGAATAAGAAGTATTGAGTTTACGCTACAATCATTTATGGCAAAATAAGTGCTTACAACATTGTTTTGTTGTTTGATTGCTGAATTTATTTTGTGTTTGTGTGAACTGGGCGTGTGTGTGCACATTTATTACAGGTAACAATCCCTTCACACAGAGAACATGTTTCTGACAAGGGTCTACTGAACATACATTAACGGTCTCATTCATATGAGACAGCTGTCAAAGGTCTTTCTCTCATATTATTAAAGTCATTTATATCCCTATTAGCGATGTCTAGTCACCAAAGGCAGGTCTCTAACCCACATTAAACCCAGCATGTGACTCACATCACTGTGTTGGTCTAAATGGGGTGTTTAAGTATATGTGCATTATCTACAACAAACAGTCAGTAAAATGCTCTTCTATCTTTTACATTATTTTATAATAATTTTATAATTTTTTAAGGAGGTTTTCAACTTTCTAGCACATTATTTATGAACCCAGTCTAAACACTATATATTTTTATTTCTGAATAACTGATCTCAAAAATTCAACATCAAAAAAGCTCCACACAAGCATAAAGAAGCAATTGAACACTGTGTTTATATGTATAACTTGTCTGTGTGTTTATGCAGTTTCGTGTGTCACTGTTTCTTCGAAACATGCTATTACCAGGCTAAGGCTCCAGGTCTTGGCAACCATATCCGTGACATCACAGCTGCATCAGCATTTCCTCCCGCCACATGGGACAAACATACCGCTTGTGGGTTGATGACATGCTGATGTGGCGTGATCATCCCACGTTCCTGTCAACAAGAGCGTGAAGTTCCAACAAAATGTCTCGTTTCACATGCACTGTCACGCACATGCACGTGCGCGTGCGTGCTGGAAAGTGCATGTGCGAATTCTAAAAGGAGTCGGCCACTGAATAATGCATTGCCATGTGCTAAAAACAACATGCGACATCAGCTGGTGGAAATGATTACATACTCAGAGTAAATGATAAGTTTCCTCATAAACAGACACTGACAAAGTGTATTCTTGAGCCATACATTAGCCAGCTAAGGTAACCACGATATCACTAAATCCCCCATTGAGCACTGATGTTCTGTAATCACATGTGGTGCATTACACATCAGTAAACCCGAATACATGACTGCATCAATCACTCAGCTCTAGGTGAGTGTGTTTCTGAAGCGTCTGAGCGGGGAAGCACCAGCGTTAGTACTGTAAATACCAGACAGAAACAAGGAACACTGATCAGGTCTATAACCAAGTAAAATATTTTCTGCTTTCAGAAAAAGAATAAAAAATGTTACTTACTTTCATTACTTATTTTGGCAACATGTTTTGCCATATGTTTGCCAGAGATCACTCATTAATATCACAGAGGTTGTTGATTTTAAGGAAATGGCACTGATCCTGATCCTGTATGCCAGCATTTTGTTTCCCTAGAAAAGCCAAACTGCTACAAGATGTACAACCTTTCATTAATTTGGGCAGAGGTTGAATCAATCAACATTTTTTTTTCATCAGTCTCCTTTTACTTCATTCACTGCACTGAAAATCACTGAGTTATCAGATCAGTCCATCAATCCAAATTCAGTTCACACACAGACACACACACACACACACACACACACACACACAAATTTCCTACCAAAATGGTTGAGTGCAGTTGGTTTA